TCAACAAAGATTGACAACATTGCTCCACCAAGAAGGAACCCCATACCGGGCCCCAAAATGGACGACGCAAACCAAAACCCTAGGTATATAGGCATATTCTTGGGATGGACGTTCTCGTCTAGGTACGCMGGCCCAAGACTGTACAGCGGAGTCGTTCCGGCGCCCATCAACAGTTGCCCAACTACGAAAAGCATCATGTAGTACCAATCAGAACTGTACGTGGAGACGCAAACATCGTCAAGGCCGCCGTTGTTACTCTTGAGTGTGCAGAGATCTTGTTCTTTAAAGCTAGAGTTCAATTGCCTGTTGCTTGATGGGTAATATGAGCCGATGAGYGCCTGGGGCAGAACGAATAGAAAAGCCCCAAAACCTGCATGTATTGAAATACGTTATAAATAATAATTGCAATGGCAATAACAAATGCAATACCATACACAGCCGGCAATACGGCAATAAGGCAATCAGTTCACATCGTGTAAACTATCTTCATACCCGTGACAAATGCACCATAGCCAAGCCATCGTATCTTGTTGCCATAACCKCCGTAAAAGCTCACAAAGCAGACCAGGACGAGAGCAGAGACGTCGTTKGTTGCCGATATGATACCAAGCTCCTTGCCAGAAAACTGGTAGCGCTTTTCCACGACTGGTAAGATTAGTTTCGTGAATCCATTTACCAGCATTCCTGGTGGAAATAAATAATGTAATAGGGATTAAAACTTTGCATATAAGACCAAATGGTTGAGGAAAGTGAAGCTCATTTCTTCCTTCAGCTTTTTCRCTAGCCTTTACTCCGATACAGGACTACACTAAAGTTCAAAGTGTTAGTTACATTTCCATCTTTATACCGTTAAAATTTATCGTCGTCTTCTTATTGTTTCGATACAGAAACACACGCCCGCAGATTGGCAAATTGGAAATCTACCCATATAGTTAACCATGCAAAGCGCAATCACAAGCGTAAGAGAAGGAAGAGTTTTGGCCTTTATGCTTGCGATTATGTTTGTGTTTGAGATTGCGCATGTACTTCCATTGATTCTGCGTGTCTTCACCATTTAAAATGAGATAACAAGGCTCATGAAAGTTGATACACTTACCCTGCATCATCGAGAATATTACCAAGAAAAACAAAAACCATTTTGGTCCATTGAGAAARTGCAAGCTCTTGGGCCTGAACTTTCCCCAACCAAAGCGTAATTCCTGCTTCGTTTCTAGTTCTGGCTTTCCCATCCTTGAAATTCAAAGCATATAATGTCAATCGTTGTCATACTTAACGCTTAGACAAATCGCTCAGGAAGAAGACTTTAATATCCACAATTTGACTATAAAACCCATTTATAAAAGTGCATTCACAATATTCGTAAGTGGTTTGCTATCGAGAGTTGTGATTGTTCAAAGCAGTACAACTAAATCCTTCAGTAGTCCTATTGATGTCTATTGTATGATAAGTCCGCAGTCCAACTCCGTTGCACTTAGATTAGTCCATTCCAAATTTTACACAAGTGTTTGAGATATTGATTTGAATCGACACGGAACATGTCTGGACTCGTCAACCGGAGATTCAACAATACTATGGAATGTTCAATTAAAGATTCAATTATCAATGTTGCTGCTGATTCGACCACCCACTGCATCCAAATGGTGGCTCTCTCTAYCCTTGGGTACCGGGTTGAGATACTTCTTGAGATACTTTTATATACCTACACAGATCTGCACTATATCTGCACATAATCCAGGAATATCGACATTTTGGGCGGCCTTCATTGTTTTATTACGAGCTCTCGCTTAATCCGGGCACATCGTAAATCCGGACAGTCGCACTCATTTGGTCGGATACTTTACTGTCTAGCAATCTTATAAATGGATGTTAACGTCAGTTACCCAATCATAACGTCGAGGTATTCGAGTTGCTTCTCGAGCTTTCTTTGAAACTTTTTGTTCGAATGGTTCACCGCGGTTATGTTGGCTGTTGCGCAATGGCGATACGCATACGTGTCCACAATCGCAAGGCTTCCGTAAGTGCAACGCAGGACTGTTGACTGTTGCTGCGTTCAAAGTTGCTTATCACAGTCAACCTCGTTGAAACGGACACCTTGAAAACCGCAATTAATTGTCCGTATTAGAGAGTGTCCGTTATAAAGGTTACATTCCTAAGTAATTTCTTGGAGTGCGTTTTGTTTGAGAGTCTGTAAAAAATAACGAGGCACTCGTAAAAGAGTAGAAAGCGTGCGTTTTGTTAAGGTTTTCATCGACTTTCCAACAGTGTTCAAGGACATGCACGCAACATAATCTTTATTATTCTTAGCAAATTCAAAAACTCACACAAAGGTCAGTCCATCACAGCATCCGGAGTATGTATTGCAAATTACTGTTTTTAGTGTAAATCAAGGAGAGRTGCTTGATTCATTTTCCATCCGCTAGCGGATCTCATGCAAACATGCGTCAAAATTAAACCCCGCATTGTCAATATAAAATGGCTGCCAGACAGATCAAGTAAARACATCTTGTCTGTGTAGTCAAAAAATCTGATTTACGACAGCTTTTTGGACATTTTTCCTCTTGATAAAACGTGAACTTTCACCTTTTTTCGCTTGCATTACAGGAAATGACGTCAAAACGTCACGACCCAAACTGGAATGCTGAATCATATATTCAAATCGAAAACATTATACTTAAAASCCAATAGAGCATATCTTTTAAAGCTTTTTATTAAAATAATTGCTAGATCCATTAAGAATGCATTTAATTTCAAAAGCATTGGAAATTGTTCGTTCAAAACGTGAAATCTGACGAAAGAGTGCAGCTTGTTGATAATATTGTTTTTCAACTTTTCAATTGTTTGTCAAATTCGTCAAAAGGACAAATATATGATTAACCTTGCAATTCCAGCGACCTTGATATTTCCTATTGTTTAGCCCTACTCAGATTTAGTAGCTAAGTATCTGTCTTAGATTACGTAACATATAATATTTCAGTCGCAYCTCACGGTCAAGGCGAAAAAAAAAATTCTAAACTACCTATCTAGCTCCGAAATGCTCAATTTATTGTATTTCAAAAGCATAATTAATGCGTATCAGTCTACTTCAATAATAAATATATCAATTATTGAACGTTCTCATGTTTATAATTAATTTAATTAATTTTTTTCCATTAAATGTTGCACAGCACGCGTAAACTCCAACGCGCTCACAAAGAAACAAAAACTTTCTCGTCAAAGTTTGCAAAGTTTCATCATTTAAAATCTTTGCGCAACAATACTTTTAAATATGGCGATGGCTGTTTTTTTAACTCCAGAATGAAAATTTCGTCTATCCAGTTCGCTGGGACTGGACGCATTTTGGCCAAAAAATGTGCGGAAATCATTGAAACTTATGAATATGACTAAAATATTTCAGATATCTTGTTCGTGAAATTAAAGTGCTCTTATAATTCAAGCTTATGAACTTTTGGAGATACATTGGAGTCGTTTGCGTAAAAAAATTTTATGCCCACTAATTAAGGGKAGTATGTACCTCATTATAGCGCTCGCAAACTGCATTTAAACGAAGAACTAAAGAGAAGCAACTTACCTAATTTCTTTCTAGTCTTTCAAGCGGTGAAATTTGCAAAGCTTTTATCTTGCTATGAAGTCCTTAAAAATATCAACCAAGCGAATCAAAACTTGTAARTTGAATGGTGGGGCTGGACTATGGACTGCGGACTATGGAGTACGGACTATATTATCGCGTTTCTTTCCTTATAGTAAAAAACTGGTACAAAATAAGACTGTTGGACATAAGCATCCATTGGTTGGTTTTATCAGTGGTAAAAGAACAGTGTCATAACAAAAAAAATGGAATTAGATTACATAAGTTGACCTTATTTTGTACCGTTTAGKACAAATTAAAATAACAACATGCACCAATGTCGCGGTTGTCTCCATATTTTCTTCAATAACATTGAAGAGCCGAGTTGTTTCAAAATATTTAAATGTTCATGGCTAATAGATGTTTGTCATTTGAGGGTTGATAAATCTATCCAAACATTCTCGAAGCGCAGTCTACAACATTTTGGATTCATACCGCCTGAGGGTCCAAGAGCTTACGATCCACTGGGTACCTTGTAGCTACAGGGTGCTAAAAATGCACACACCAATTCAAATTATAAAGTCATACCTGTTAAATATGAATGTTTAAACAACCAAGGCTTACAAGACAGGATACTTTATAGAAAGATCAGTCTAGTTMGCTCCTGACATGCATAGCACTGAACGAAATTTTAATAATCTAACCTGGAAGTTCACGCTCGTGAACTGATGTAGCAGATAACGTTACAAAGACGACACGCAAGCGGTTCATCATAATGCTCTCTTAACCATCGACGCACATCCTGGAAGCAAAGACCCTTAAATATCAAGTTGACAAAACGCAAGCCAATCTCTTTAAACCGTAATAATCTAAACCGGATTTGCTCCGGATTTTGCTCTATTCCAGTGATAGAAAAACCCTTTGAAACTTACTCTTTATCATAACTTTACGATCTATGATTCGAGACATTGCAAGATTCCCTTCCGGATTCCCTCAACCAACGTTTACGGATGGAAACGGATTGTGAATGGATGTTAGTCCTTTTTTGCCATGTATGAAAAATCTAAATAACGACCGCATTGAATGCCGGTTGAAGATAGCACTTTTAAGAAATTTGACAAATGAATGCATGCAAGCGTTTAGCCTATGTACAACCGTTCCCACCCCTTCCCCTACAGGGGAAATTCAGGGAGGACTTTTCCCTGTAGGGTGGAAGGGGTGGGATGAATGGATGTACACAGGCTAGCAAGTGTTTTTCATATTCCTTTTTTGCATAATTTGAGGGAGAAATTATAGAATTACTGGTACTGTACATTGTGAGCGTTTCCTCTCCCCTTAAATGCTAAGCCGTCAGATAGCTGAACATGATGTGAGCTGAAATCCTCTACCTTAACATAATTACATGCAATGATTCCTTTAAGTATGGTCCTTTAAGTACCTTTACACTGTTTATTAATAATCATTATTAATATTCTAATTTAATTTTAATTTAATACACTTAAATTACATGAAGAASAGGCAGCACCTCAAAGAATGACGTTTACATTGTTTCTGATCAAAATTCAAATTCTCTTATACTACACAAGAGCATTCAGGAGAATTGACATTTTGATCAACATTACTTAGCAAGGATTCTTTAGTATGACAAAAATCCCTTCTATTTTACTTATATTAATCAATAGATTTGATTTAATGTTTTTATAACTTTAGGAATCCTTTGATGTCCCCATCTTCGACGGCATTATCAAAGGCCATATAATCCTGTAAATTTAAAAAAAAATTGGCACTGAATAATACCTATTCTAAGAAGGGAAGGGAAGAAGAGAAGGAAAAGCAGCTTTCTGGGAGGTGCGACTGGTGGGCTGGGCCTATCTACATGCTATCTACCATCCTCTTGCACCGAGGTAGCAATTTTAATATTTTTCTGATAGATTTGAACACTTTCCATCTAATTTGGGAGGGTGGAGGGAGTTACCCCTTTCAACCCTTCTCTATCCCACTTTCCACAAGAGCCACCCCAAAGACCTTGATGTCACCCATCCCCCCTTCCCCCTCCCCCAAGGGATACATGCCAATTTCAAACAATGACTTACCCCAAGATATTCATTTCCTTTACAGATCTGCGGGGGCAGAGCTTTAGGATCACCTACAATTTCTCTCATTTTATCTTTTTGCTTACTATCTGTTGCAATGTCTATGTATGTAACTGAAGACAGTTGCCCTCTAAAGTTGTCACCAAGGATGTCCCGTATTCTATGTTGRTTTTTCTTTATCTGTGTTTAAAAGCAATAATTACTCCTTGATCAATCCATCCATRTTCCATCAATTGTCCAATTTGCTTGCYTAGCGACCCTAAGMGGATTGACCAGGGYCAAMACCTTTGGGGCCACTATGCAGGCTATATCACCCAATCATTCAACTCAATSAATTCATATCAGCCTTTTKAGAGTTAAACATTGTAATTATTGCAGCAAAACCAATAATTGGTTTGTCCTGGTTTGACATACAGTAAAATATTATTAAAGACATTTCCTGCAATTTTCGTATAGTCACATGATGTGTGATGTCATATACAGTAAAAATAAAATTAAAAATTAAAAAAAAAAAAACACATCAATAATGACAAATGGATTTTGATGACAAATCAAGATGAATTTTATCTAGTTTTCACACATCACACCATCTTAGTAGTGGGTTTCCTGTGGCTTGTTGCTTTCAGACAATGTGGCAAAAACAGCACAAAAACAAAATGTTGGACTAGGTAAATTAACAGCCTTATTAGGTGATTAACTATAATGCCCAATTAATCAAGCTGTCAAGATTCAACAACCCTTCAATATTTCAATTTAAAATTCATGATTATGGTCACATAATAATTTTGCAAAATATAATACCACACACCACATTGAATCCCTCGATTATAATTCGCACGGATGAAACAAAAAAAGCTGTAAGAAAATTCAAATAAGCGATTRCTTTTGTATTGGAATTTTTGCGGCTACATAAATTCATCAAAAATATACTGATTTGCATGTTTTTTTGTAAATAATTCTACTCTCTTGACACGAATACCMTGATATCAATCCCTCTATAAAGCGCTTAACTACACAAAAAGAATAAAGAGTTGTATTCATACAAAAGAGGTAAAATTATACGATCAAAATACAAAAGAAATGACAAATTCATAATAAGACAGGCACGAAGGCCAAATCTGCTCAYTAGTACGAGCCACAAACTTTAAGTTACCAAACAAACGATAATTGTACTAGATCAAATGAACAATGACTACGTTTGAAGCTATGAATTTGAAGTGTTTAGTCGAAGAGCTGATGCAGACAACAGCTAGAAATGAGAATTTGCATTCATAATTCATACGAAAGGAAGGGATATGRAGAATARCTCGCCAGTTATTTACCTCTTGGCTGCTTGAGATCGACGAGATATAGACTTGGATTTCGGCCATTTTGAATGTGTCAAGAAACCAGCTTCAAGAACCTTTGGTATGGACTATACTATTGTACACAAACGTCCTCTCAATCTTCGCTTATGGAAACACCCTCTCTTCAGTGTCGCCTCGGTCATCGGTCACTGGTAACGCAATATATAAATGCGTCGTGACAATCTCAATCTAACAACATATTTTCTAGATATTGATCGCGTTTTTTTTGTCGATCTTTAATTTTAAAAGATCGATCGCTTTGATCTCTCCTAAACAGCATAATTCCCATTCAATCAKAAAAATACGTGACGGATCGAAATCGGTCATCAAGGTTGCGTGACGGAAATTGATAGCACATTTGGTAAATCAATTTTTGACTTTTTATTCAAAAAATTTTTTTCGGTTATTATTTTATAAGATTCCTGAATTCCTATCTTATCCCTGGCATTTATTTAATTATAATCTATTTTTAGGAATCCATCGAGGTCTTCACGTTCAATAGCATCAAAAAAGGCAGCAAAATCCTGAAAATTGAAAATAAAATGAGTATTGAATAGTGAGATGTAATTAGTTTACAACTTTTACCAAGGAATGCGGACCATTAGAAATGTTTCAGAGCTCCACCCCCTACTTCTTGACCCTATCAATTTTCAAACTGGTTTGCATTGATGAATGGAATGCCCAATGTGTCAACCGTCCCCTCCTACCAACGGTACAAGCTCATGGCAAATCTAAAATGGTAAAATGACTTACCCCAAGGTATTCATTTCCTTTACAAATTTGTGGGGGCAGAGCTTTTGGATTTCCTGCAATRTCTCTCATTCTTTCTTTTGCTTCAGAGTCTGCCGCAATGTCGATATATTTAATTGGATTGCCTTTGTAGCTTTTCTTAAGGATCATTTCTATTCGCTGTTGATCCTTCTTAATCTGTGGCAAAAATCAATTGATAGCAATTAATACATCCATTCATT